AAAGGAATAGTGGGCACAGGATTAGGTAAATGGTATTCAAGCTTAGTGCTCCCTAATCTTTTCAGCCCCTCTCTATTCAAGCCTAAAATGTCCGTAAACACTGTCATAATAGCATTCATACAAGTAATTTATTCATTTTGTAAGCTCACAATCTCAGTTTTTCCCCACATCACAGCTGAGACTATGCCCACTGTCAGGCAAACATGTCCTGTTCCTGTTTTTGTAGTGATAAGCATTTGTCTCACACTGCAGACATTTGACTTGTCATAGCAGGAAAAGCACAGATGTGACTAATAACATTAACAATGGCTCTCTTGTATTAAACCACGACCATGAGCCAAACTGCACAATACCAGGACACTGGAAACAAAGCAGCACATCATTCATTTTATAATTTAGACCTATGCGTTTGCTACTGTGCTGCGTCACAATGCCAAAAGCCATTGTAACCAGGTGGAGCCCAGTATGTTTAGGACAAACACAGGGGCACAGCAATACAATAGTATCACAGGCCTACTATTTTTATCCACATAACACAGCAACAAGTGTTCAAACTGTTTAAACTGAAAACATGGCAACTTCTGGAATGGCCACGTCAACATTAGCATGTTTAGCAGTTAGCTTCACTGGAGTTTGCTAACTACTTACCGTTTTAGCATTAATACACCTGCTAGCTAACAAGCAGCTGAATTCACAGATACTTCACGTTACTTCTAATTAGCTGCTTAAAAACGAACCAAGCTTTGCCAATATTCAGCTTTAAAGGGGGAAATGGTACCCTACCTGCTAGCTGCTGTGCTTCCTTGGCTTCACTTTCATTGTTTTTTCCACTCTGTCGCGGCCTTGATAGCATTCACACGTGCAGCGCACCTGTGCCCTGCAGCCATCGCACGCGGGGGGATTGCGGCGTTGTGTGAGTCAGGCCAACAGGTCAGAGTTTAACTTCCCGCAACTGTCGCTGTACGCATTTCCTTTTGAGCGATTTAACACTCTCATGGTTGAGGTAGACCAGTAGTTTCCAGTGGTTTCTTAGAGAAGGAGTCCCTTCAGGAATAAACGAACCTAGTAAATCACAGGATTTTTATCCTGTGTGGGTGGGGACCCATCACCTGTTTTCCTCTTCTTCCTCAGTAGCTGCACTCCTGACTCCCAGATCCCTTGTAACGTGGCAGTATTATCTCATTCAGAGAGCAAAGGAGTAACAACATTATGAGGAAGAAGCCAGACAGGATGCAAGATCCATTATCCTCCATTGTTGTATGATCAATGAGGTCAACTGGGAGTATCCTTAATGCTTTAGTCAGATACAATATGTTGAAGGAAGAGCTTGAGTTACTCACACATCGGCCCTATTGCAGTAATACCAGATAACAGAGGGATTAAGAAAAATCTAAAGGCACAATGTGTTTTACAAAAGCCCCTCAAAATGACCCCACAGGCAGTGGCGCCTCCACAGGGGGCCAGGGGGGCCATGGCTACCCTGATACAGTTGCTGGCTCCCCCACTGCCAAAGTACTTGGGGTCAACATTACTGTCTTTAATGGGCTGTGTTGTGGTCATTTATAAAGCTAGCATGAAGCTTAGTGGTCTCTTGTGAAACTAGACAACCTAAGGCAGTAGTTCCCAACTGGTGGGTCGCGAGTCCATTATGAATGGACCGTAAGTGACTCGCCAAGGTGTCAAGTTTGTACAAAAAAACAAAAAACACACTTTATTTTGAAGTACAGCGAATTTCCAGCACAGAGCGAATATACATCGATCAGCCAAAACATTAAAACCACTGACAGGTGACGTGAACAACACTGGTCATCTTATTACAGTGCAATGTTCTGCTGGAAAACCTTGGACTGTGACATTCACATGGATGCCACTTGACGCGCTCCACCCACCTAAACACCAGTGCAGACCAGGTACCCCGCCTCATGGCAACAGCACTCCCCAGTAGCAGTGGCCGACCCAGCAGAACAATGTGCCAAGCCACACCACAAAAGCGGCTCAGGGATGGCCCGAGGAGCATGACAGAGACCTCAAGGCATCAACCTGGCCTCCAAATTCCTTGGATCCTGATCTAATCAAACATCTGTAAGATGTACTTGTACCCACAGGACTCAAAGGATCTGAAAGTAACGCCCTGCACCAAAGGACACCCTCCAGAGGTCCTGTGTCCATGCCTTGACAGGTCAGAGCCAAGTCCGGTCCAAGGAGGACCCACCATGGATTGGGGGTACCTCTGGGGTTACAGCACATTCCTCAGATGTTCAATCAGATTGGGATCCGGGGTATTTGAAGGCCAAGTTAATGTCTTGAGCTCTTTGTCCCATTCCTGGGGTCATTCCTGAGCAGTTTTTGTGGTGTGGCGTGGTGCATTGTCCTTCTAGGGGGGGCACTGCCATCGACAACTGCTGTTGCCATGAGGTTTACTTGGGCTGCAATGGTGTTCGGGTGGGTGGAGCACATCAAGTAGCATCCACATGAATGCCAGGACCAAAGGTTTCCCAGCAGAACATTGCACTGTAACAACATGATCAATGTTTATCACTTCACCCGCCAGTGGTTTTAATGTTTTGGCTGATTGGTGTATTGAACTGTGTGGACCTTGAACTTATGACAAAGGAGGAATCTGGACCCCGTGGTTGGACCAGTTGGGAACTACTGACCGAAGGCATCCACTGGCACCAAGTATGTCATGTTAGTTTGACAGGAAGGAGGCTAAATGATGCTCCAGGGCTAGGCAAACTTTTGGCGAGGGAACAACTGACAAAGTCATTTTCCCTTGAAGGTCCCTTCAACACTCACCTCAGATATCCCAATGAAAATGGGTTCTATGCATACCCACAAGACTCCCCTAAACTTAAAAAGGCTTGTTTCCATTAAATGTTTTGTTCCCTAAAGTCAATGTACTCTTTCAAATGAAAGCTGTATATTTGATTTCTAAGGACAAAGAACAACCAGCCTATTTGAAGAGCAATGACTCACCTAACATGTATAGATACATACCACATTAAAACAGGATTGTTGAGGAACTCAATATGTTAACTGTATCAGTATTAGTCTATGCACATCACATACTTAGTAATATTAACTGGAAAATAAGAAACCAAAGTATATCAGAATGCATTCCTTAACTCTCATATTGGCTATTGCTTTAACTGCATAATAAAATTTCTGAAATTCAGTTGTGGCTTTTGGTTTCGGTGTGCATTTTCACTGGCTCCATCTGACCACCCCTATGAAAACTTTATGGGGGCACCACTGCCCATAGGTAAAAAAAAATGACAAACATCAAGCTATCTTCTGGATTAAATTAATTAATAGGTCACATTATCAAACTACAAGGCACATTTTTGCTCCAGCGGCATTCCAAAAAGGTAAGAGTACATGCCTGAAATGACCCTGTCTGAGCTGTGAGATGCATAAGAAGGCTGCAGCTTCAGGACTCTGTGGGTGCATTGCTGCATGAGACAGACTGAGCCAAAGTGCAGCAAACGTGTGCAGGCAACCGAGGACCCACCAGTCATGTTCTACTTGCAAAACTGCCATAACAAAACAAATGATCATCCCAAAAGTACATATTAACGAATGTGTGAAACAGCTATACCTACCAATTATTCACTCCAGTCCAACTGGTAGAGTTTGTGTTACAGAGAGCCACAATACATCATTCCCATAGAATGCAGTTAAAGACTCCTTGTGGAAACATGACTACCTCGGGTTTCCTGGCCTTGTATTCTGTGGTTCTTTTTTATTCTCATATTCCACTGCACAGGGCAATTTAGTCTATTATTTTAGGATCAGATGTCTGTGCGGCCCTATAACGCTGCCATTTAAACAATTCATCCAGTTTATTAGAATTTTCAGCAATGAGTGACTGATGCTTATTTTGCATCATGTGTTGCAAGTATTATAGGATTTACTGATTGGTAGGTATCAATATATTAAGGTATAAAAAAGCTAGATACTTTTTTTCTCAATGAAGTCAAACTGCAACATGCAGCCTGAAAGAACAATTGCAAACTATTTAAAGAAAATGTCAGCTAAGCACATAGCTGGCCAATTTGGTGGTTTATTAGTCATTTGGTTCCCTCATGTTCTTACTTTCTGTGAAAGCCACAGACAGTGGTAACACTATGGGAGGCTGTTGCACAGCTGTGCCATTTTATGAATATATGTCTCCCTTTGGGTGCATTTTTTAACAAAGTAGGGACAGGAGCAATAACAGCGCTGACGATTGGGCAGAGAATCTGACTGCAGATGCAGCAGGGAACGGAGCCTGTTTGGTGATAAATTAATTTTATTAGCCATCTGAGACTAGACTAATTTATTGTTTTAGATTCTGCTACTTGGCCTCTGTGACTTTGTGAATGGGCTATTTTCCACAAGCACCCCCAGAAGCAAGAAAACTCTAAGCAAAAATAAATTATTTAAGTCTCGAAAGAACTTAAAAGAGGAAAAGGTGCTGATCATAACCAAATGTAACTTAATTTTCTCAAACTAGTGGCCTAACATTTACTCAGGGCTGTTTGTATTAGTAACATTTTAATACTGAGGCATAGTGTTTTACATCACAATGGTCAATGCATTCTGAGATACATCCTTGTTTATGTTTAACTGAGTTTCTGGCACATGGGGATTAGTGACCCTTTGAGGTGTATTTGTTGTACTCTAGCTCCCTCTAGAGGGTAAAAGTTGCACATACATGTGCTTCTTCTCCAGATGGCATGCCTTCATAATATGATGACAGTATCATGTGAATTCCATGCATGTCAGCAATCAATTTTGCCCATATATTGGATGCCTTGTTGTTCAACACCTTGTAAACAAGACTGCTAAAAGCTGGCTGAATATAACAGTATGTTTTTCTCTTCCTTTTAACACCAAGTGTGTTCCTGTGGGTCATTCAAGTTTGCATGCACATGTTAAACACACATACAAATCCATTTTTGAGACACACAAAAGACAAATCAGAGCCAAATGAGCGTCTTTATTTTACAAACGCATTATTCTATTGACATTTTTTATATAATAAAAAAGCAATTTACAAGCTTAAGAACCAAAATGAAGCAGCACAGAATGATTATGAGTAAAATATATAATTTGAATAAATATATTTTATTTCATGCTATAAAATAAATTCATAAATGGCAAGAGATACAACATCAGCTCTAGCTAGCTTCATTTACTTCATAGTTGTACAAAACAGTAGAGTTCTGAGGTTCACAGTTGGGTTGTGAGGTTGTGTGTAGAGTGGACAAAACAGGAGTTGGGGTGTTTCTGCTATCATGGTTCGGTTCGTGGTCTCCAGCGCTCCCCATGCTTCAGCTCTGTGGAAAATATGGGCTCATTGAGACCTTGAGGCAGAATGTTTGGGAACCACTGACTGAGGACTTGTTTCCCCACCTGAAGAGAAGTGCACGATTATACTATGGACATTAGTAGTATGTCCAATGAGACCACTTTTAACACTATATACCCTGAGTTCTAAGGTTTTTTTTTCTTTTTTGCCTTGTCACCAAATACATATGAGCCAGAGACATTATAGTGCAGAGGTTAGGGAGTTGTAAAAGGAAAAGGAACAATAGCTGGACTGAAAACTTCCCCCTTGTCCTGAACAACCACAACTACAGTCTCAGTGCGCAAGGAGCCGAAGGAGACCACTTAACCTCAGCATGACCACAGATAGCCCGCTCCCAAACAGTGGCTATACAGCCCAAAAATCCCTTTCATTATTTGACACAGCTGGAGGTGCAACTCTGAACAGTGCCACTGAGTTAGATGACTGAACCACACGCTCAGTTCCTGTGTTGCAGTTTTCTGACTACCACTGGATTTTGATGAGCATTTAAGAACACCAGCAAGCAACACCACTTTTTTCCCCATTTATATATATTTTTTCTGAAGTGGAAAGTTTCCAAAGTTTCAGAAAATATATAAAAAATAAATCAATATCAAATTGTCCTGGTCCTACTTCAATTCAACAGCTCCCTGACATTCACTTTGTTTGATATATGACAGGCCAATATTTCAATAGGCTTGATGATCCCAATACACCACTTTTTTTAAAAAGGTTATTGCTTTTTCTTATAATACACAGTGGACAGAAACTGACAGAAAAGCTATGGAAGACTTAAGATTTTTTTCTAAGCCTGTATCAGTGTTTGTAAACTACCTGAAGTGAGTTTATTATAAAAAGAATAGGACGAGCTGCAATTTCAAAAAGTAGTCTGACAGCCTTCCCTGTAAACACTTCCTTTTGATTACTTGTGGCCCATAATGCATCTCCCGTTCCTCTCAAGAGGTGTGGAACTAAGAGTTGACAAAGAGTCGATTCGAGTGTGTGTGTCAAGTTCAGTTGGTTCTGAAGGTGTGTGTCACGTAACTGTAGTTCATGAAAAGCATTTAAACAATTTCCCCTCCGTTCACCTGTGATGATTACATGGACTTGTCTACTTGTTTGATAAATAAAAAAAGAATCGGATTAGTCTAAAAAGCACCATTTAAGGGGTAAAGGTCCCTACCAAAGTGATTGAGGCCATCATAGCTGAGTCCCTTAAGGGTAACTACAGAGATGAACTAAACTTCCCGGATGGAGGTGGTATTTACTATCAACAAAAAACTGTAAGTGCACAGTCGATGACACAAATACAAGAAAACTCAAGTTTTTTAAAAAAAATTATCCATTGGCAATTTCATACAATTTTGTGGTTGAGCAACGTGCAATTCAGCTACAGTATATGAGGGTAAGCTTTTTTTTGCTTTTTTTTAAACTCCAGATATATTCAGTTTATTATCTGCTAAATACCCAAGCAGCTGTTCCCTTGCCAGATGCTCCGAGACAAATGAGAGGAAGTAGAATTTGTGTTTCTCATGCATCTCCTTCCTTTGTTGAAATGCCTTAAACTACAGTACAATGTTAAGATTGTCCTCAGTGGTTAGAGAGGAGGCATACAGTATAGTCTCTAAAACACAGGGCAACAGCTTGCAGGGAACGAGTCTGCCTCATTTGATTGTTATCAATTGCTACAAAATCAGTGAAACCTTAAAATCAGTCCATTCCATGACAAAAAAAAAAAAAGAGAGATAAAAGCAAAAACGGGGGTAGGACTTGAGCTGAAAATAACGACAAAATGAACAAGAATGACGTGAATTCATTTCTATTCATTCTTGGTACCACTTTAAAGGATGTTTGTGGCCATATTCGGTTTATAATCTCTTTTCAATCCATTAGAAAATGAAAGAGGCACAGGAATCTAAGTGCCAGAATCTAAAATGTAAAGCTTGTGGCAAGGCACTAAGTTAAAGATGCCACTTTTTGTGAAGTATTCTCTCTTTTGTTTACATTGGCTTAAACAATTACAATACCTATTGCACAACGTTTATATTGTCTGCTTTTGTATGGCTTAATATATTATGTTATTTATGACTTGGCTGCTTAATGTCTTCTTAGCAAATTGTTCAAATTTTACACAAGTGATTGTTACAAGCTGGGAAACATACATTCCTTACAAATAGCAATGTCCTAGTCCTACATTAAATTAAGAACCTCTTCTCCTCGCTGAGCATTCAATTATGCAATACAGTCAAAATTTATGCTTAAAAATCACCTACTAGTCTTTGGTGTGTGAACACTTGGCACAAAAATGTTTTAGCAGTTTGTACCTTTTACTCACAAAACATTACTTACAATGCATCTCCTTTTTTTTCTGAGTGAAGGGCAAGAATCAATTTAGTCAGCTGCTGATTTTGGTGAGTTCAGATCAGCCGTCAAACCTGCATGTCGCATCAGCGGCCGACAGAAATGAACTGGACTGAGTAAACATTCATCTAAAATGTACTGATAGACTGTGGGTGTGATGACCGAAAGTGTTTGTGATGACTCCTTGAACACAAAGATAACGGAAAGCTAGCTATACCGATTTTTGCAAAATTCCCTACATTTTGGTTCGCTATCTCGACTGTCAATGAGTGAAGACGATAACCGCACATTCAGTGGAATAAAAAGGACTGCACTCTTGACATTAGACATAAGCAACAAAACACAGTATTTCTCCCACCAAACACACACAAAGTAGAAAATCATATGGAAACTGTGAAATAATCAAATCCAATTCATTGACACAAATTCAGCATGGACCAGATGGGACAAAAGCATATAGCAGGTGCTCTCAAAAAACGTATTAAACAGCTGATTGGCAATAAGAAAGCAGGAAAGCACAAAAGGGACAACCCGGCTGAGCTTTAAATTTCCAAAATATGACAGAATAATCAATCAGGCCCTTGAATGGCCTTTTAGGTATTTACTGTGAATGCACTTTAAAACCAAAGTCTCTATAAACTAACAACACCCCCATCCCATTTCCCCATGGTTCAAACAGTATAGATAAAATAGGTAGCCATATGCATGACTTGTAGCCAATAGTATTCATGTGATTGCAGAGTCTTGTCAAAGTTCACAACATTTTTATTTAGAGTAAGAAAAAAAAATCACTGCTGTGAAACTAGTACTACCCTGACACTGCCGCATCAGAATTAAGACAGAAATTAGCACATTTTCTCAATGGGACAGCGCTCATCCCTCCCACCAACTCTGCAAAGTGCATCAATGCTTTGGATCATCAGCTACCTCTCCTTAATCTAGCAATGCTGCATCTATGTCAACACCGTGAAGTAGGATTGAAGAATGAGGAAAACTTGTTCCGAGTCTGCATCTGACCCCACCCAATGCAGAGAACAAAGATCACAGATCGACCGTCCCATCGTAAAAAGGTAGGACAGAAGGAAAACAAGGAAACAATCCTATAGCTCTTTCAAATAATGGAAGAAAAACCATGTCAAAATGGCTGAGATTCCTTTGTTCTTTCTGTTTGCATATTATTCAGACTAGTATACTATACTGATTTATGTGAACAGGTCCAGAGCTGTTCCTACTGTGCTGAGTTGACAATGAGTACTCCCGTCTCTGTTAGACGCTGAGTAGTAACCTAGAAGCCTACCTCAGGACAAAACAATTTACACATACAATAATTCAGTATAAGTCTGCCATCAGAGTATAGAGAAATACAAATGACTTCACTGTATGGACGTAACTCATCCATTACATGGATGACAGCATCTAAAAAACCACGCCTTGGCCAACAGAGTGAGATCTCCAGTAGTGATGAGAGATATCTTAAGTGTTTTGTAGAATAAACGTTATAAGACAGCAAAATCATATCTTGAAAATATGCAGGGCCATTTTCTTACTCTATTCTCCGCATTTGCCAAAAACAAACACACAAGAAAGCTAGCAAATTTAATGTACTCCTAACATAGCACCTTCTTAATCATCATTTTAACCTGGCTGACCATGAAACATTTGACAAGGACTAAGTCCCCAATCCATACAATCAGCAAGGAATATTTCCTCTAAGTATCAAGGCTTTGTGTTGAGAGAATATTCTTTACAGGGTTTGGCAATAAGATAATGTACATATACAACCTAAAACGGATTTCCAAACGGTGAACACGTCTGTGCCTGGTAGGTTCTTGGCTATGAGGTAGAACCTGGTGAGTTTTATTTAAGTTAAAATACTGTCTGTTATGAGTATGTAGTTGCATCATGAGGTATTGAACGGATATGTCACACGAAGCTTTGCACTGGCAGAAAAATCATTCCTTGTGAGTAAGTGACCTCTTGTGGCCACATGTGCAAAAACAGGTCAGGTAAAAAGGTGATATGACAAGCATCTTACCAGAGCTTTCACATTATCAATTATTGCAACATGCCTATATAACTCTGTAAATATGTTTTAAAAAACATGGAAAGATAAAAAGAGAAATCAATTAGGGGGTCTTGATTATTGGGACCTCCTCAAAAATAGTAAGTTGTTACTCCCTTTGCTTGAAAGAATCAAATTTCTATAAAGCACCCATTTGCTTTCTGCATTCAATGTCTAACTTTCACAAAATTGACAGAAACCCTTTGACACAAGAAATGTCCATAGTAGAGGGAGCTGATTCAAAAAGAAAAAAAAGTCCTTTAAGTTGAGTTAAGATAAACATTTCTTAAAGCTTCCTTAACCTGAAGCAGGACCTAAAAATCACATCTTGATGCTTGAGCCTCCTCTGGACTGCATTTTGAACTCTCTTCCATATCATTGGCTGGTGCCTCTTCTGCATATTGCGCCTCGAAGGCCATCCCCTCAGACGTATCCTCTTGGTCCTTCTGACCTGAGCTTCCCTCCGTCCTCTCTGGAGAGTCTATATGATTACTGCCCTCTGATGCTCCCATGTGCTTCTTCCTCAGGTGCTGGTTAAGGGTGCCCTGAAATGGGAAGCATTTGCCACAGATCTGACAGTGGAAGGGCTTGTTGTCCGTGTGGCCACGGATGTGGTACTCCAGCTGGTCTTTCCTTGTGTACTTCTTGCCACAGAATTTACAAACAAATGGGGTGATTCCCATGTGCAGGCGCATGTGGCGATCCAGGCTCCCTTTCTGATTGAAGGTCTTTCCACAGTAGATGCAAATGAGTCTCTCATTGTAGGGGTACCACTGGCTCCGCAGGCTACGCTCTCGCACATCGTTCTCCAACCCTGTGGCTCCCACAGCTGATTCGCTATCATCTGAGCCTGTTTTGATATGACTCAGCACCCCTGCTGGGATGGCCAAAGGACGCTTTGCCCTGGCTCGCCCACCTCTGAAGCCACTGAGCATGGAGCGGGAAGGACTGGAGTTGCTAAGGTTGACAAAGCATGAGGAGGACAGCCCTGAGTAAGAATAGGCAGCAGACTGGATGACAGGCCCGTAAGAGCCCACACTGACAGCCAATACCTGCTCTCCATCTACCAACTCTGTGTGGTAGCCATCATCACCAGCTGAGGAACTATCTGAGTAAGTGGGTCTATCGGTCTTCTCTATCTTCACATGCACATCTGTTACTTGCCCGTCTTTGCCGATCAGTTCCACTTGCTCCGTTTCTCCCTCTATGGGAGCATCATGCTCTGACACACTATCACTACTGCCTCGGTCTGACTGGCCTTCCTCTTGAAGTTGTCGCCCCCGACCCAGGCTTTTCCCTGCCAGCTCAAAGCGCGCTTCGTGTCCTGCCTGACTCTGCCGGGAGTAGTAAGGGGGGGAGATCTGGGTAGGGTTTACAAAGAGGTTGCTGTCGTTGACCCCATTGCCGCTGGTCTGTGAGTCATCCTTCTCTGGGCTGCAGACACTAACTGGGAGGCTGATCTTGGAGTGGATGCTCTCAAGGATTTGGGTGCACTTGTCAATGATGGCCTGCATCTGCAGAAAGCTTGCAGCAGTGAGGAAACTGATTATATCCTTGAGCTGCAGGGACATGTGACCTGTGTAGCAGAATGCAAGAAGCTGCTCAAACACCTCAGGACTTTTGATGACCGAGATGGAAAGGCCACTCATGGTGCTGAGAGCTGAGTGGTCACGAAAGTAGGGTGAACTAGCTGCCAGCACAGCCTTGTGGGCTCGAAATGGCTGGCCCTGAATGTGAACGATGATGTCACACAACTTTCCTTGCAGCCGCAGCTCATTGAGCTGGGTAAGAACAGTGTTACTGAACTCCGGCACATCGAACTCGATGTAGCTGCCGTCGTCCATTTCTTGGATATGCTTCTCCAGTTTGTCGGCTGCCTGACAGGAAAAAGAGAAAAGAGAAGAAATCATTAGATTTTGAGACAGTGCATTCACAATACACACCGCATTTTAACAATTTCACAGGTAACAAAAAACTATTGTGCTGTATATGTAAAACAAATGAGACAGAAGACTGTTTGAGTATTTGATACAGGTTAACCTTATACAGAACTGCATATGACAGATTCTACGATAAAAGCAATAATCGGGGCTCCAGAGTACGACCAAAAATCTGTCAAGTGCAACTAAACATTATCATTAGTCATACCAGTGCACCTGACATTTAACAAATCTGTCTCCATGTGTGTATTAAATATGTGTAAGCAGCCCTGTACTCCTCCTCAAGCAACATCACAATTGTAAAACATACCCCCAGTTTAAAATGTAAGGCATTAGTGGTTGTTTTGTCATCAAGAAAAATGCTGCAGTGCCCATTACACCTGTCCCCTGCCCTGAAAGGCCCAGCCCAGACCCGACATCACTAAGCGGAGGTAACCGCTCCACCACCTGTCTCCCCTGACCCCGGTAAAATGCCGAATCCCAACCCAACATCTTCGGCTTTTACTGCATGGCTGTATGATGAATGAAATAACTGCAGTAGCACAAGTGGCACAAGTGGCAGCTCTGTGCTGCATGTGTGTGTGAGACAGAGCTGCCTGTTTGTTTGAGGTGAGGGTTTGTGTGCTTGTTTGTGTGTGAGGTGAAGTGATAGGGCATCACTATTGGTAGTTGTAGTCTAACATGCAATGGTGAGACAGCACTTGGATGCTGGGGACAGATGCATTTATGAGTCAGCTGTCACTGTTTTTATGTTCATGTACTTCACTGATAAACTAGAGAATTGAACATTAACACTGGTCTTCATAATCAAATAAAGTATCTCTCTCTCTTCACAAATACTCGTGTGCTATACAAGAAGTCTGAATCCAAGACAGAAAGGGGAAATACAATAAACTACAGTGGACTTACTTTATACATTTATACTCCAGCTACAATTTTGTAACCTGTGCTGATAAACTTTCAACCTCTGTAGCACCAGCAGTATGTGCAAAAATGCTAATGTACAGCCCTATGCAATCATTTACATAATGAGTTAAGAAATTACCAATGTGTATGGGAGCTGACATAACAGTTAACACTTTAAAAAAAAGTAGTATTACGGCAGTGCCTAAACAGGTGGTGAAAAAATTTGGGTGCACCTAATCTATGTGCTGATGCACCTAAATAAAAAGTTAGGTGCATCAGTGCAACCAATGTATAAAGTCTGTCTGGAGCCCAGACAATACTGAATGCACTGCAGCAAACAGCACTTTATAGGCTACATCTGAGGTACATTCTCACCTCAAGTGTAATATATTTTGTTGTGTTTTGGTTGTTTTTCTTTCTTTTTATCTTTAATACAGGGCTTGACAATATGATAATACATGCCTTCAGACAACATAAATTTGTCAACCAAAAAAAAAAAATCTTGCCTCAGTATTGAACAAATCTTTCGTAACCAAGTTTGAAGGATCCTTACAATGTTAATAACTCAGCCTCCTTTCTTAATGGGCTACATATTAGTTCTACGAGTACTCGAGTACTCGAGTACTCGAGCCCATCCCCAGCATAAACTTAACATTAGAGTGTCTGACCACTTCACTATGTTTTAATCTCAAAGATAAAAAACAAACATCTGCAAAACCAATAGTAACTGGAAACACACACAAAGTCATTTTGTTGTGAATTTATATCCAGAAAATGACCGACATTATTCCCATTGAGCATACATAGTATATGTTTTCATAATAGCTCCAACAGTTACCCATTTGGCAGACAGTTTGTTTGGAGCAACATATATAATGTGCAAAGGGAGTGGCTGTTTTCTGGGAGTGGCACCACTTTCACAGAATCAAGTTCAAGTAATAGAGGGTGTGCAAGAACAAGGAAGAGAATGTAATCCATAGATAGATTCTGAATTTAAAAACCCTATCTGCATATTTAATTCTTTAATCGTCAATTATTTGTTGCACTTTTCAGTGATTATTCATCAGTAGCCATTATTGCTCAGCAAGGAAATTGAGAGGGAAGTAAAGGCTATCAAACAGTTACAACTGGTTGAACAAACAGTCACAAATGAGGGAAGCTGTAAAGGTATGCTGCATTTGGAAGGGAAAGAATGAAATCTTAAGTTTCTTACAATGCCTTTCTTAACAGCTTCTTTGATACACCAGATTAAATGTTTGTCAGTAATGACACTGACGCAACCGCTCCTGTTGGCTTTTGTTTGCCTAGTGCTTTTTGATCTTCTCATCCAACTGACAGCTACATCTCCCTGTGGTAAAAATCCAGTGTGTAGGATTCAGGGGAATATATTGGCAGAAATGGAATATAATGTAATAAGTATGTTTTCTTTAGTGTATCGACACCTGAAAATAAGAATCATTATGTTTTTGTTACCTTAGAATAAGCCATTTATAATTACATAGTGGGTGGGTCCTCATCCATGGAGTTCACATGCTACACAGCCATGTTTCTACAGTAGCCCAGAATGAACAAACAAAACACTGGCTCTAGATCAGGCCATTTGCATTTTTGCACCAGCCACCGCAGTTAGCAGCCCCTCCCTGACAAGTAGAGTCAGAAAAACAGATTTTTTTTTACGTGAAACTGCTTTATTGAGTGCTTTTACCAGTTTAAATCACTAGAGCCATTTGTTTTGCAGAGGAAACAACCTCTGCAGATAATCTGGCTACCTTTAAACCTCCTGAACGTCTGGATCTTGAGTTGCCAGAAAACAAAAATGTGAGCACACATTAGCAGGTGCTGGGCTAGCGCCTTATCTGTGATGAGCCAAAAGCATCAGAGCATCTATCAAGCTTTGACTTAAACCTAAAGGCACAGTCACACAAGTGGCACACTAACCTTGCACAATAATATACTGACTTCAGCTGGTTCATGAATATTAATAGACAAAGGCCCTGCCTTCTCAGCAGAACTAGTTAAACTGCACTTTGGAAAGCAGCGACTGTGAAATCCAATTCCACTGTACCTTCTGTGTAATTCTGTTTGTGAGAGCTTATACTTCCTTGTTGCAAAACCTTACTATCAGTCAGTTCTCAGGCTTAACCCTCCTCTCCCCCACTCCATCTGCCCTTCTCTCATCTCTCCCCCTGCACCTCATCCTCCTCCCTCCCTGTCCCTTGCTGGCAATTCAGCATGATCTTCTGCGCATTGAGTCCCTATCAGCACTTTGGGAATGTAAACACTTCCTCCAGTTGCCAAAGCTTGCCAAGACACCTGTCCAACAAACCATATGCTCCCATCCTGGCACATGAGAGGGAAAGATGTAGCAAAACAGAGAATCGTAAGAAGGTGTACTGTATATTATTTTCACTCCCCTATTACCAGCCTTCAAATACAGCATGTTCATACACTAAAACATACCAGTAATGGCTGCCAACAGCATTCATGCTGTATGGAGCCAAGTTGAAGGGCAGCCAAAGAATGTATGCTCAGTAGTTGAGATGCACATGCTGGGCGAGGGTCACATGCATGGCTCACGTGGGAAAAACTGAAAATGATTAAACTCAGCTCAAAACTTCCATCTGTGGCTCAAGCTCCCTGCCTGGTAATAAACCTTTTTGACACAGCTGCTTCGTGTAGGTGGGTAGAAAGGATGCTGAGTACATTGTGAGAGTTTGGCTGACCATAAGGTCAGCATAACTCTGGTGGTAAGACATAACCTAAAGCCTATAACTTAGGCATGCCACTCAAAAAAAGAGAAGTCAACGAAAGGAAGGGGAAAAAAAAACATTAGAAGAAAAATCAAAGTCAGCAAGCAAGCATTGTATGCTTTCTTCAACATCAGCAGCATTTCACCTACTTTGAAAAACAGCTTGTGGGGCAGACCAGACGCAGAACAGAATTGCTTAACAAGCAAAGGTTGGGGGAGCAATTTCAAACAGATAGTAGAAAAAACAAGATAAAAATAGACTAGATACACTAAAAGGGAAGGTATGATGTGAGGAACTCTGCTGGTGTGAGAATTACGTGCATTGTGGAAAATGTTAAAGCTTAGTGGGAGCTCAGTTGCAGAGCTAAATATTGTACGCTTCGCCTTCGGGTGTGTTCTCATATTTGATTTGAAGTAAATAACTGGAAAACAAGAAAATGCTCATCTTTCATTTCAGCCCACTCACATGCTTATCAGATGAAGACAAGTGGATGACTTAAAAGACCTCAGCCCCTACTTATTATATGTTATCCTTTTCAACAGCATATTCATTATCAAACACTAAAAAGAAACCATAACAGACTAACAGAATTATACAGTACCATGCAATGCAATGCAGTGAAGTAAGTTTGCCATGATGACACAATTGAGTACTTCCTGGTGACATGGTTACACTCAAGGCTGAGAAGCCAAAAAGGAATCAGCTAGGTATGTTTTGGAATTTTAATTAAGAAAAAATCTAAAAGTAAGGCATTCACAATGACAGCCAAACATTATCTATCGTTTCCAACGTCTGTATCCTCTACAAGCAATAAATGATGCAATCAGATGATAGTAAATAGTTGTTGAAAGGAAATCTAGTTGAGCCACAACAGTACTCTGAGTCTGCCCTTCATAGTTCACCCTTTCCCTTGTGCATGCACCAGTTATCCTGCATTTTGTCTACCATCAACCTTGACAAATTTACCATGTCTTGTTTGCGGTGGGAACAGTGCTTTTAATGATCAGCGCTAATTAGCTAGGATATCATCCTGCTACACTGCCTTTTCACCTAGAGCCACCCTGCAGTGATTCCACTGTTGCAATTACACTTGGCAATGATAGATTTTATTCAATGCCCTTAAAGGGCCTTAAACTTCAGTATTTCCCAACCTGGACCCTATTTTCACGTTTTGGTGTCGAAGTGACTGACAGCAACAACAACTTTTGGAAATGATCCAATACTGAGCGACAGGGCTGCAGTCAGAAGCTGCTAAACAGGCTCCGGGCATATGCACATTGTCTGTTTACATCCACTAGTGTTACGTGCTTCTTTTGCCCACTGACAGGCTTGAATTGAAAAAAGAAAAAGTTTATTATGGGAAGGATCCCTACAGCGAAAGATATTTTATTTAAAGAGTAAGATCCTTTTTGTTTAATCACAAACAGTACTGTTGCTGTTGCCAAAACCACCAGATTCCATTTAAACAGACCGTACTTTCATCATTTTAAAACACACTTCATTTAAAGCATTAAGAAACAAAATAAAATTCACAGAACCCATCTTTGGGTCAACAATGGTTTGGTTGAAATAAACTCTTAATTCACCCAGTAAGATGTGAAAATATGCTGGCTAGATACATGCTTAAATTTCTGTTTATTTAAATGGAGTCTGGTGGGTTTGGCAGTAGCGATTTCAGGGCTGTTTTTGGTAAAACAAAAAGGATCTTTCTCTTTGACATAAAGGTCAGTCTTTGTAGGGGTCCTTTCCATATTTTTCTTTAGACACTTAGAATAACAATCTGAGCATGTCAGTGGCAAATCAAGCACTTCTGGAGGATGTAAACTGATGATTTTATCACCACCAAATGGTCAGATTTTGCTAATGGTAGGAAAGAATTCAACAAAGACAGCCACCATTTGCTGACATGTAGTTTCAGTTTTACTGAATTCTTTAGGTAAGTTTTCCACATTTCCAAAATGTATACGTACGAAAAATACTGTATATCACACTGCTAGAGAGTAAATAGTTAAGATTATTTTGACTTGCAACATGCATTTAACTTTTTACATTGTGAGTTAGAAACAGTTTATGTAATGACATCTATATCAATGATAAAGTGATAACTATTACAATATTATGGGCATTGAACAACATTTTAAAAAGGTTGCAAATATATTAGGAAAATGTGTGAAGTTTGCAAATCTACAGATTAAGGCATGGTACCTGCTCCTGCTACAAACAACATCTGGCACTGCCACAGCAATTTCTGAATTTCCAAATTACCAGGATAAACCACAGGGCCCTGTCTACACCAGAAATTACCAGCATCAATATGCTGTGTATTGCACAACCACTAATTTCAGCTCGTGGTACAAGCCAATACAGTTTCATTGCTTATCCCAAACAGAAATGGGACTATAATATAGGGTTGAATGGGTGCAAAGCCATAATGCTTGCTCATGCAAGAGTGGTAATTGGTTTGGCCCCACTGTGTTCTGACATGCCTTACAGTTAAACCATTTAAGATAGTTTCAGATGCAGTTGTCCTAGAATAATGCGTGCTGTTGGTTTCAAACTGGGCAGACTGGGAACATTTAAAGCTGATAGTAGCTTAACACAGTGCCTGCCTGGTGAGCTAGGTGAGCCCAGGTGTACAGAATAACCTAACAAGTCCCTGTACTTTGTCCTTTCCTGACATAACATCAAGTTACAATAGGTTTACAGGTAGGCTAACATTACATTTATTGCGACAAAAAACACTGATAATACTGCTATCTTGAGTCTTTCAGCTTAACATATAAATCCACTGTAGTTAACGTTACAGGTTAGTTTATGACACGCTGCATATACGGGCCTGATGCCATCCCATTAACGTACAGTGGGTGCAAAATAAAGCGTTTTATTTCAAGTCCTCGCTATATATTCGGTACGTTAACTTATTCATTAAGACTGGCATTTATCCGTGCTTGCTTCATCGTGCATAGACACTGAGGGACATTAACATGTATTGTCGATCCCATCGTAAATTACGTGCATACAGAGCCGATACAGTGGGGAGCAAATGTGCAGTCTCTCAAACTTTATTGCAAACCATTTTGCTAGTAGTTAGTTAGCAACTGATGGGGGTCTATGCGACCTAGCGGAACAGCTAGGCTATCGCTAGCTTGACCGTCACATCCACCTGCTTTTTAGTTGTCAACCATGTCTGATTTCTACTGCAACTTATAGTTAAATCAACGTTAGCTAAAAAAAAAGCATCGGCTCACAGGGCCGAACCACCAACTATCAAGCAGCACACAGGCACCAGCTAACTAACAGCGCTAGCTATATGAGCTAGCTTAGTATCGGGCAATTATGTCAGAAAAAGCCAAACTTTCACAGTGACTTCCCACTTTCACGCGTGGTGGAGTGTTTAACGCTTTGGTCAGGCTTTCTCATATTATAAATAAGCTTTAAAACATCGTATGGTATGGTAGCTAAGTTACAACGTCGAACGCGGGTACAAACTATGTCGGCTGTCATGAAATAGCTACTATGCTAGCTAGCTTCTGCACCCCGTTAGCGCTAGTGTAGCTAGCAGCCATCCCATATCAGCAAATGCTAAGTAGCGGCTAATGCTAGCTAGCATTTAGTTGCTAGCGTACGGTCGCAGGCAATTATTTCCCCATTTATTTCGCTGTCAGAGTAAAGACGCGCCGGCATTGAGAACACATTACCGTCACCAGCCCGAGCCAAAGTTGAAGTCCATTAAACTCACCGTCTTGCAGATTAGCATTAAACGTTGTCCATTCCCCTCAGTAGTTCGCTAACACTACAGCCAGGCCTCCCCCCCTCTCCAGTCCAGATGTGTCAGACAGTTGCTGCTGCAATTTTTGCATCAACAGGAAGTGTTCTTTTGGCTCTTTGCATTCATTCTATCAGTGTGTTTTGCACCAGCCCCTCCCTTGCTCATGTCAGTGTTATTTACTGAGACATCATGTCCTAATAGTACAACGTGATGGGGAACATATACACGCGGAGACATAAATGTAAAGTAACCTACAGTCGGTCTCCACATTGTTTAACGTGGCTAACGTATACTCATGCCCTTATCTGCTGACTACACCCATGCCATGACAATATACATAGTTTCATCTGCTTCCAGTGGGAGGGAACACTAAATGTAAGTGTATTTAGTGCATTTGTTCTCCTGTTTTGTAGATGTTGTACTTATTTTATAACTTAAGTTCATTAAAATCTGAGATGACATTGGTCAGTACCTGTCCAGCTGTGCAGCTGCCCCCCCCCCCCCCCCCACTGTCACACGCATAAACACAGAGAGAGAGAGCTTTTTTTTTTTTTTTAAATAAAATTACAACATTGCCAACATTTACATTATGTTTATTATATAAGTTGTTTTGTTTGTTTGTTTCATTTAGCCTTTATATTCCACTATAAGTTAGGGTAGGGTTAGGTTATTACCAAAAAACTGAGGTATTGGACCCTCCAAAAACACATTTTTTAATTGAGCTGAGTTGTGTCACCATCACAACTGCAGAGGCATTGGCTACCTCTAAACCCATGAGGAGTTTTATTCATATTTTTGTTTAGTTTATCCAGCTTTTTGTCTAATAAGAGTTTCATGGAATAAGTGGAATAACCAGTTTTTATTAACTGAAAATTGAATTTATGGAGTTCCGCATGGATACCACAAAGGGGCGCCAGAGTCTAAATTGATGCTGAAATGTCAACTTTGCATCCCACTCCCCCCTTTTATTATAATACACAACTCTCAAAAGGTTGAAGTGAATCAGCATTACAAGGAAACTATGTTATTCAACTAATCAGATGACAATATGCCATAAAAAAAGATATAATTATAAAATAATCTTAAATGATGAAGACACATATCAACTATATTTATTTGCCATTTCTTTCTTTCTTTCTTTCTTTTTTTTTACCACAATAAATACCTGTTTGTGTGAATCTTGTGTATATCAACTAACTTTGTGCATCATGATTGATAATGCATTCACAAATGAGGGAAGTGTTGGCAGGATTTCATGAGGAGCTCTGTGAGAAAGATCGCAGCATTTCTTCAAGACAGTGGAAAAATTGTTCAGATCATCTTTTCCATTAATCCAGTAAAACTTCAAAAATAACAAAATGTAAAATCCTGTAAGTGTAACTGTTGTGCAGGATCCTGAACAAAAATAACCTAAATTTAGCTTTTTAATGTTTGGCCATCACCCAATGTAGACTGGAGAATTGATTATTGTAGTAATCACTTTTATGTGTAGTATATAGAGCCTCGAGAATAATAACCAAGCACTTGAAGTATAATTATTTATAAGCACTTTGCACTTACACCAAAGCTGGGTTTACATTATTATATATGTCATAATCTTTAAATCCTTATTTTATTAACCATTATGTTTGTAAATGGCAGCTTGTTTCGATTTGTGCATATTGCGACCCCTACCTGAGGCTGAAGTTCATGCCCATGTTCCACTTAATTTATTATAATAGCTGCATGCAAACATTGTAGTCTATGTGTGTTTTTCTGTTGGTAACAGAGACAGGTAAAGTCTTGTTTGCTGTCCACTGTTGGGAGCACTAACATGAAATGAATGTGAGCTGTGTGTGTTTCTTCTTCTTTTTTTTTATTGAGTGTGAGTGACAGGTTGGCAACTCATGTGAATATCTGACCTAATCTGTGTGCAGGTGGGTGATCAACGTAGAGAAAGGAATCGCTTTGTCATTGCACGTGCGTCTTGTTAAACAAGTCACTCCTCTATTCTCGACTGTAATTTGCTTCTCTTTTTTCCCCCCTCTTTCTGGAGATTGATGCACAACTGAAGGTGCAGCCAAGGTATGGTGATTAGAGATGGTTTTGTTGATCCGCAGGAATGATCATGGTATTGATAACATTTCAAACAAACTCATAATCAAAGGGTTTCCTGTTGAAGTTGTAATCTTTTCTGAAATGGGGCTTTGTTAGCTCAGTGTCATTTGGTTGACCAGGAATTATTTGGCGGTAAGCTAATGGGGCTGCTTGTGAGTGGTGCAGCGCCAGGGATCGTATAGGGGCTCCAGGTGGTGTGGCCCGGGGCTCTGATGTGCTGCTCCTTTTTAATCCCAGATGACATTGCAAAATCCCCAAACCCCCTGCCCCTGTATAAGACGGTATAGGAGCAGAGACCAGATGATTTGTTTAAAGAGCACATATCATGTATCAAACTGAGGGAATAAGGAGCTCCACTGTTTCATGCTAAGCCTGAGACTATAGGTCATGCTTAATATGAAGAATAGGTATTTATTCTTTATCTGAGAAGAACATGTGTGTTTGTGGTATTAACCCCAATAACACAATAGTAATTTAATTTTTTAATAATTCAGATATTTTGGTTTTACTTTTGGGATTTATTTAAAAAAAAATCCACATATGAGCCTATTTTATGGAACATGTAATTTTTGCAGTTTTATTGCAATATTAAAAGCCATCAAACAATTCTGCCGCCGTCAACAAATATCACTCTAACCGCAGTTTGTTTGGTAATGTTGAATAAGTAGCCCAATGTTTAAGCTTAACATGAATAACACATTGTTTTCTATGTGTGCCAAGAGTCCCAGAATACCTTGGCTGTCAGTGCTGGGGAGAACAATGGTCTCCCAGTGCTCCTGTCCAGAAATAGTCTATAGCTCACTGATGGAGAACATATTTCCCAATAGCAGGTGTCTGAGTCAGTCAGTGCCTGATCCTCACCATGACTGTAAATGAAAGGGCCAGCTCGTCCAGGTGCGGGAGCACCTCTTTGGCCCTCTCAGGTTTCTCCTTGATGGAGGAGCTTTTTATGGAAGAATGAACAACTGAAATATTGACATTAAACTATGTATATTACTGTTATCAAAAGCATATACATCATTTCCTTTAGTGCACGTAATATTCTATAGTATATTCTAAAAGTATAATAACACAGACAGTTATCTACTCTGTGTGGATGATTGACAACCTTTTATTAATAATATAAGTCTTATTCTTACTTCTCAACACATAAGGTGCATGAGGGTTTACTCTTCAGTCTATGCTCTGTATCAGACAAACAGTAGAGACTTGAAAATCCTTTTGTGTTTTTGAAACTGCACTATTAAAGCAAACACAGCATAAGCTTATGAAATATTTATATACCACAATGATAGTCAGTTTGACATATCTTCATTTCATTTAAAAATCAGCTGGACTCCAACCAAAACCATTCAAGACACAACCTCGAAAGCTAAAAGAGTTTTACCAGTAAGTACAATAATCACTTGCATTGCAAGGATAATGAGCCCTCAGATGTGTCATATATTTGCCTGAGAAATTAAGCCAATTTGTGGAAATGGTGGCCTGGGGTTGAGGGAATACAGAGTGGCTTGTAAAGATGAGTGATATCTGGCACAGCATGAAGAGAATGAGAGGTGTGCTGCCCGGTGCTTAGCTCAAATGAAAGCTCTGATTAGTGGAGCAAAGATCAAAATGACAGAGCGGTGGAAGCTTCAGCTGGGCCTTTGTTATTGATAAGTCTGTCATCTCTGCTGATATTGGAGCAGTAATGGCAGCTGATGATTAGGCCACTCCTGAGCTATTAACTACATTTCTTATCCTTTTACTGGGGCCCAGGAGAGCCTGTTTGAGAGACAAAGGCGTCCTTTATGAAGCTGGCTCCTTAAACGGCATCCACCTGACCTAAAAGGCACAACTGTTACTGTCTTTCTGCCAGGCCAAAGAAGTCAGGGACGAGATACATGTCAGAGGTCGCGGTGTGCTGCTGTTTGAAATGAAGGGGTTCTGAGTGAGTAAGCTGCTGAAAGACGGCCGCAGCAAAATTACAGAAAATTGGCTGTTTTGTCAACATTTCATCAGCAGATTTACAGAAAGCTGACCCCGACCCTTTCTCTCCCCCTCTTTCACAAGGCTAAGGAGATTGAGTAGGTCGGAATTGACTGACAAACAAATCTCTTCTTTATTTCTTTCTCGCTTTCTCTTTCCCTCTCTCGAAGTGATATTCAATATGATCTCTTTTTAATGATCCTAAGTGGCTGAAATTCCATATCCTCAACACATATTGTTGAGGTGGTTTCAGTCTGATTCCAAGGCACACAAAGAGCATAAAAGGTAATCATGAAAATGTTTCAATTCTCCAATGAAGAGAATAATACAGATATCATTTCTTATCTCTCAGTATTGTAGTGTAGGCTACATAGAGAGAGTACATTTATTTTAATATTTAGCTGTTAATAGCCTATAAATGTACAGTATGACAGCATCAGACAATTACTATGCGTGACCTGGGAAAGATAAGAAGGGTAATATATTTAAGTCAACTTGCTAGTGTGCAACAATGACTGTACAGTGTGCACTAGATCAGTGATTCCCAACCAGGGGTAGTTGTACTTCTGCAGGTGCAAGGGAGTACATTGAAAGACTGTGGAGAAGCATAAGCAATTTGAAAAATATAAATACTAACTGAGATTTGATTAAAAAATATACCCATAGTTGGCTGTAACACTAGACTACATGTGATCGAGATTACAAAACTAGTAAACCTTTGTTAAACAGTCAGCTAAGAGTAACGGATAAATGGTTGAGATAGAACAGAATTTGTAAATAAACTGTTCAAATATAAATGAATAAACTAAAAACATAATGGTGAAATAGATAGCCTAATGCAGGCTAATGGATAGGTGGTTAAAGTTAGCCAGAAGTAAAAGGTCTAAATAGATAGCTAAAGGTAGGCTAAGTAGGCTAGGTATTTTAGCTAAAACTAGTGGATTAAAGGGTCAAATACCGACGCTTTGGGTTGGTGATTCGATCTGACCACCACCCCAAGATGAGACTCAACAATGAACTGTCTTTCTCCAGAGTTACATTCAGCACATTTAAATAGATAGCTAAAAGCAAACTAAGTAGTTAAAGCAGTGAGCTAATAGTAGTGTTACATTTTTTGGACAGGGTTGCCATCTTGTGAGGAACACACCTGTCGAGAAACACATGTCGTCATGTGC